AAAAAAAAAACAGAACATGTACATATAAAAAATAGTGCAAAAACGTAAATAATTTTTTTTATGTACGATTTGAAAGATTTTCTCTATATATGACATTTCAATCGTAGTCCAAAAAACAGCACTGTCGAAATCACTTCCACATTTTTGAATATGCCTTAATTAAATCCAAATTTTAGAAAATGTTTATTCCAAATCAAAATGCTTTTACTTGAATATTTTGGGTTTTTTTTTTCAGTACATATAAGCAAAATCACGCAGTTATTGGCGTTTTCCAATCCAGAAATCCCAGCTTCTTAATATTAGATCCGAAGTTGGCCCATGAAGTCATGGTAACGAATTTCAAAAAGTTTAGAGACAATTTGGCAAAGAAATTTGTAAGTTGTGAAATTTACATACTTGTGTTTGTACAATGTACATATCGGCGGCACTTTGGTAAAACCTCATATCGCAGAAATCACTACTACTTTATAACTTGAACAATTATTTCAAAATAGAACTTAAAATACTACCATTCATAATAAAATATTCTTAATTAACTAAAAAGTATTTAATATTTAATATTCAGTAAAAAAGGTTTTTGTTCGAGAGTGTTTTCAGATACGAGGATTTGCCAAAGTACCGTCGATATGTACATTTGTTTTATGTTTGCGCATATATATTTAAATATATCTATAAGACATTTTAATAAAATAAACCGGATTACTCAATAGTCTACATGGACGGTGTAAAGTACATAAATTCACGGTGCACAGATTGCACGGATTGCCCGGTAAAAACCGGTTTTCGGGATAGCTTTGCAAACCGTGCAATCCGTGCACCGTGCAAGGGCTTTGCAAGACTCAGAGCATACCCCTATTTGATACGTAAGTTAGCAAATCGTCGAAATTCTAGTCTTCGTAGAAGCAGAGATACTGGTTTAAATAAAGTGTCGAATCCCACGCATGGTAGCGACGATATTTGTACTGTATAGTCGGAGACCAAATGTAACTTGCTCGTGCAATATCGAACCCTAACGGTAAAAAGGGAGCGATAGTGAATTCTGCTTTTCAAAAATTATTCGGCTGAAAATTCTGAAAAAAATTTGAAAAAAAAATTCTTTTAAAAATTATTTCCGTTCACAATTCTGTATTCTAAAACTCTGTAAGAAATGATTTAGAACTAAAGTTCTGGAAAGTAAAGTTTTAGATTCAATATTATTTTAGGCAAAAATTCTGTATTTTTTACAAGCTTTTATTTAACTTCCCTTGTATGTATGTACATACGTATGCCCTGGAATTTCGCCGAATTTATGGTCTTAAATTTAATAAATGAATTGAGTATGATTATATAGTAATAAAGGAAATGTATATGATTATATAGTATGTTAAATTCTGTAACTAATAAAAATATTTTTAGATCTACGATAGAAGTGAGGATAAAATAGCTTCCGTAAATCCGTTTTCAAACGTTGGGGAAGAATGGAAAACTAGGCGTGCAGACGTAATCAGCGGGTTAACACAAAACAAGGTATAAATTGAGTATAATCACAGCGTAAGTTCACTTCACGCGCATTTTCAGCTCAACTTAGGTTATCCCATTTGGAAGAGTTGTGCTCAAAAACTAAGCAATCTATTGAAGGAGCAAACTACAAATGGCAACGCTGTTTTGGAAACTAAAAACGTAAGTACGTAAGCGTTTGTTAGAAACATACATATTATCGTACATTTTCTTCACAGCTCATCTATCGATTTAATTCCAACGTTTTGGGCGAGTTTCTCTGGGGCATCGAAACAAACACACTCGAAAGTCTAGACAAACCAAATACTTATTTGGACATTTTGAAGAAAGTGCCAGATCAAATTTTCCTAGCTTTAATAAGCCACATCAAATGTATACCATTCCCTTGGCTTCGACGCTTCACAAACTATCGCATATTTACTAACGAAACGGTATCCTTTTTCTCACAACTCACCAAGGATGCTTATAGAATGCGCGAAAAGGACGCGACTAATCAAAATAGAGTAGATTATCTGAATTATCTGCGTCAGCTGCAGGAAAAGAAAAATCTGTCGCACGAAGAAGTGGTTGGATACATGGCAACTGTACTTGTAGATGGGTACGATACATCGGCAACGATTGCCTACCATGCACTTTTCTATGTGAGTCAAAGATCATTCGCAGAGCGGTTGCAATAACTAATATAACTTTCCAATTTCAGTTGACCCACCACCCAGATTGGCAGGAAACGGTGCGCAAAGAAATTCTAAGCAATCTCGATGCTGATGGTACTATCAGTTACCAAACTTTGATCGGTCTGCCACATTTGGATCAGTGTGTGCAAGGTATATATTCGCTTTATGCGCATATAAACCGAAATACACATAGTTATCAACGATCGCATTACGATTTCTTTTAGAAACACTGCGAATAATTAGTCCGCTTACACTTACTTCGCGAATTTGTACAGAATCCACCGAATTTGAGCTTAACGATGGACGACGTATCCCCATTAAAGTGGGCCAGGAAGTCGCCATTCCGTTTTTTAGTTATGTTCACGATCCCGATTACTTTCCCGACCCATGGGAGTTTAAACCGGAGCGTTTCAATAACGTTGATCTAGCAGAATTGGCGAAGAGGGGCATTTTTGTTCCTTTCGGTGACGGTCCACGCATTTGTTTGGGTAAATGCCTGCTGGAAGGAATTAATCACTGCTAAGGCGATAAACGATTCACTAATTTTTTTTCCTAGGACGACATATGGCAATGTTGCAAGTAAAAACTCCGATTGCCGAAATACTTAAGACTTATCGGCTGAAAGTATGTGAGAAAACTGCGTCTGAAAGAAAACCTGACTCGCCAACTATTGTTGTAGGATTGGATGGTGATTTGATAATTGAATATGAGAGACTCTAGTCAGCAAAAATATTTATGTACTCTTCAAAAAAATTTTACATTCGGCGCTATTATGATTGTCGATGTCGACATCGATGTAATTTTTTCATCAAAAAATAACCGTCGTAGGTCCAACTCCGGTTTCGCTGACCACAGTAGTTTTGCGAGGAATACGAATATTTTTACGAAAAAATATAATCGACGTCGACGTTGAGAACCATAATCGGGTCAATTATTTTGTTAGAGAAACATTTAGCAATGCATTCTAGGTTTCGAAGATTAAATTAAAAATAAATTCCGGGCAAACTATATAAATATGTTGTGTGGTGATTAGTAGTGCGCGCTACCATTCGGAAGGACCTGGGTGCTAGCCCTGGTCAAAGTAACATCGCAAAAAAATACAGAAAAGGCGGTCGCCCCTTGGCAGGCAATGGCAAACCTCCGAGTGTATTTCTGCCATGAAAACCCGTAGGCTAATAAAATAGCTGAAATTTAAGAATTTTTAATTTTTATTGAAATCAAAATTTTCAAATATAAATTACAAGAAGTCTACTTTGCTTGCTTTGGCTTGAGCGAATTTTTCGTTGGATTTGGACAAGTGAATCTGAGTGGCAATCTCGTTTTCGATAGATAACTCCAATACCTAAACAAAAGCGTCAGCGTTGTCGGGTTGTCAAAAAAATCTCATGTCCATACAATTTGTATGAAGCAAATTTATATGAAACAACGCGGCGTCAACGCTGAGCGGTTGGAAAATGAAGCTGGCTGCAGAAAACGGCGAAACTGTCATATTCCCATTAGCTATTAGGACATAGTAGGTCTTAAGTCACTGGCAATGTGAACAAAATTCTGATGGAAATCCAAACATTAGAAAAGATATCGATGACATTTTTCTTGGCAATATAATTTGGCCGATTTAACTGAAAGGAAAATCGAAAATCGAATTTGGTAAAGATAGTTCCGATACGATATATGTGCGTATCGATGTCTTATATAATAGAAAATCGGTCCCCAATTGTTTGAAGATAAGCTGGAAGAATACTGAGCTTGTACAAACATGCCTATTTTGACGAACGATAATAGTCATTTCCTAACGCGATTACAGTCTTGGGTATACCTTTAGTTTTACATATTGCAAACTTAAGTAAAAAACATCATGTCAATTGCGCTCCTTTAGATTTGAAAAAAAAACTGGATTTTACTTTTTTCATTTGAGCATATAAATTGCGTGTCAGCGTGTATCAATCGGATCTCTTCAGGAACCTTTAATCGATCATCTGTATATCAAGGGCCAATATTAGGAAATTGTACAAAATTGCACAATTTGGTAAAGAAATCGCATTTTTAATATATTTTTGGTGACAAAAATTTAGTCATTGGAATTTTTCTCATGTCGGGTTCGAGGTGGGAGCGACGGATGCAGGTGCTATCAAATACGCACAGGCCTGGTGTGAGGATAAAAAACCGCAGATTACTGATGTCGTAATTAGGCGAGTAAAACAACGATGCTAAACTTGCTGCAATAGGTTTAAAGAAAGGTGAACTTGCTATGGAAGCTCGCATACGAAACAGCGCAATAGATATACCGCTTGCGTAGACCGTTTATCGCAAAAGGTATACGATATAAAATACGAGGTATCGCATACTTGTTGTCGCATATCTGGGTTTGAGTTTAACAACTATTTTTTCGTATTTTTTTTTAATTCCGAGTAAGATAAAAAATGCGTAATTCGGAGAAATGCTGTTAAAGCACAACCAAGAAAAACAGATAAAACTTTCGCAACATTTATAAAACATTAACAACATATTCGCACTGAAATAGTATGCGATAAACTGCCCACGTTCAAAAATGTATCTGCGGTAAGATCTCGTATGCGAGAAAACTGACCGTTCGTATGCGAGTGCTCATAACACCTAGTACCGTTTTTAGTGTTTTTTTTTTAACTCAAATTTCTCATAGATAGTTAAAATACGAAATAATTTGAAATGTTTAAAGCTGTGGCAGCACTGAATTTACAAGAATCTACAAATTTAAATGTACTAAAATGCAACCATGATTGATAAAAAATTGAAGTTGCAAACTTACGTTCTTCTTTAATTGTCTTCGCGTTGAAAATTCTACTACGCAGGTAAGTTAAGTATTTCTCTTTCATTTTCTAATTACTCTGGTTTACAGCAAAAATGTTCTATGGATGCCACTGTCCGATTCCTATGTAGAACTTCTCGGCGATTCCGAAACTCTAGTGNTTTTCAAGAACGCCCTACTTCAGAATTTGATTGGAAAACACCCTACCTCATAATTTGGTGGAATAACGCCCTATCTCAGCTGCCAATTCACAAACGCGATAGGGCGTTTTTGAACCGGATTCTGAGATAGGGCGTTCTTTAACAAAACTCTGAGATAGAGTGTTTTTCAATAAAATTCTGAAGTAGAGCGTTCTTGAAAGGTTTTCTGAGATAAAATAGATAGTTTTCGAACCGGCTGCCGAGATAGGTCGATCTTCCACTCAGACATCGATATCAACTGAAAGATAAATTAATCGTCTTTATTTCAGCGTAAAAAGTACTATGGATCCGCATTTTTAGTTTTTCCATAGCTGAACGGTTGGTTATCTCTTTGTGTTCCAAATCATTCATTATAAAGTTACACAAAAAGTGCTGAAAAAAATCTTTTAAAACCAAAATAAGCTGCATATATTTCGAACTCGTTGGCACTTATAATAATGAACTAAAAATAAATTACAAACTGTTAAAGTCTGTAATTTCAGATATTTGAATTGAATAATTTTTTCGCCAAATTTTTCTGGAAAGTTTTAGTTCCAGCTCTTCTTAAAGGTAAAATTAGTAAAGTAAAAACAACCGCGCTATCAGAAAAAAGATCTTCTTTTAATTAATTTTTGAATTCATTAACCTAGATCCAAGAGTTTATGGGGGATACACTGTATTTCGAAAATTTCCATCTTATAAACGCTTAAGTTTTGGCTTATATATACCAAATACAACTAAAACTTTCTGAAGCTAAAAAAGAGCTAGATAAATATGAAAAGAGCTAAAGAAAGAACTAGGAGCTAAAAACCAATTTTCGGAGCTAAACAGAAAAATAAACTGCTAAATCTAGCTCTAAAAGCACCAAAATGGCAACGCTGACGATAAATGCATACTGAATGAAAAGTAAATTTTCTCATTAACGTTTAGAGATATTAAATTAAAAAATATGGAAAATAAAAACTGATAACACCAGCTACGTCTCTTTCAAAACTTACAAAAATCTCCCGTACAGTTTCGGATGTTTTGGAACATACATACGACATCCGTTTTCTGAGGCGACGATTTGTGCGCATTCATGTACCCATTTTTCGCTGCTACTTTGTGCGATACTCAATGGTAAAATGTCTTTACATTATAGTTTACTGGTCAAGTTTTTTTTGCCGCTTACACATATGTACATATGTTTGTGTTTGGCCGAGCTTCTCCTCCTATTTGTGGCGTGCGCCTTTATGTTGTCACACAAAGGGGAGGGACCTACAGTTTTACGCCGACTCCGAACGGCGATTGTATTTTTATGAGAAGCTGTTTTTCATGGCAGAAATACACTCGGCAACCGCTGTTAGAAAAAACCCTTTTTTGATTTGTATTTTTTGCTATTGGGTTAAACCGGGATTGATCCCTGCTTTATACTTAGAATTTGGAAGTCACGGCCAATCGGTCTCAGCTGAGTTCGCGTCATCTTGTATTCTATGTTTCTTGGCACTTATGTTTATAGCTAAATGTTTACCTTAAAACTGTAGTTATTTACTTTTATTCTTATCAGCTCAATATATACTAATTTTTATTTCAATCGTACACTGATAAGCGCAGAATTATTTTGTTTACTATTTATGCAAATACATATGTACATGTTTGCAAGCAGTGTGACCAGATAATAACAAAACATGAATCCAAATTCTTTGGAAATTTACCTTATTTAGTCGTTAGATGGACTTAAAAGTACAATACCATTTTTTCTACACGCACAGAATTTGTCTTGATAAGTTTTGATTTTAAAAAATTTAGCGTTGAGAACTTTTCTCTGTTGCTCTCTCAGAGAGAGAAACACAACAACTACCACATAGAAGAAAAGTGCTGGACCAGAGCGTTCCATTAAACAAAACGACGCTACACTTGGTCACGAACACAGCCCTTAAAGTTGACGAACACCTCGCTTGACTTGAGCAGAGCACATAATAAAAATGAACTTTGGTAGGAACGCAGTCACTTGCGGAACTTTTCTGGAGCACAAGCGACGCTGAATTTTAGCAAAACAAATTTGGCTTTACATCCGATCGACACTGTCGAAATTGCAAATTTAATTTTAATTGTCAACGAACAGTGATGAAAACAAATACGAAGAAGTAAATTTCTGAGCGCCTTGAAAATGACGAGCTACGGGCCACAGCTTCCACTTTGTTGTCTTTATTATCTAAACGCTTTGTCGATGATGACATGATTTTTTTGAATGCGGCAGCGACATCATGAATTTGTATGAGTTTGACATAAAAGAAGATGAAGTACCTTATCTGTCGCTGGAAAAATATAAATAGATCTATTCTGACCACAACCACAATTATCTACATAAGAGTACGTGTTAAAATAATTTGACAGCTGTGGTCCGTAGCTCATCGTTTTCATTGTGATCGAGCTATAATGTTTTTATGTGTTTCCTTGTGTGAGTGCCATTGTGTNTTCCCTGCCGAACGTCCCTTACTTTTACAAAGGCATGGCCGCCTTATGTAAGTAGGAATTTAGAATGTACATTTGGTATCAGACATACTTCTGAGCCGCTTTACAAAGTAAGTTACGTGTAATGCAGAGCAGTCGCTCGGAGTAGTTCGGTGCTTGGAAATAACTTCGGCTGCACGTTATTTTGCAACTGACAACGTAATGTGTCTTCGGAGGTGCTCATTTTGCCCTTTACTAGTAGATGACATTGGCCATGATGACAATTTTGGTACTAAAAACTGGAAGAAAACATGGCTTACCTCGCAAGGTGCTTACCTATTTTCCCAGTGGGATTTATAATACTTTTTTAGGTAATTACATTGAAAATAAAAAGTAGTTTCTCGAATAGGCAATTGAAATTTCCTAAGGCAGCGCAAGAGCGAGATGTTGCCAACGTACATCACCTTTTATTATTGCATCATGGATACATATAAGCGCTGATCCAAAAGACTCTACTTAAATTTTTTTAATCAGTTAATGGTTTATCAACAGGCTCTTCACCCGGTCTAAGTTTAATTCGTCTTAGACCCGACTCATCCCTTGCGGCTGTAATTCGAAGTCAATTAGTCCCCTACTCAACGATTCAATGAAATCTACACACTTTGCAGCTCTTCATACTTGTTTTGGTATAAATATTACCGAACAAAAGGAAACTTTTGCTTACATACACCGGTTAACCGGTTAAAAATAATGTTTCAGTAGTGTATTTTATTATTGCACAACAACAAAATGCACTGTAGAAAAATTATTTTTAACCAGATAAGCTGATAACCAAGCAAGCGCGAACAACGTGGGCAATATTTTTATTAAAAAAAAAACAACAAAAATTTATCTAGAAAAACATTGCAAATATTCAAAAAAAAAACAACACGTGGTCATTCGTTTGAGTCACTGTATATTTTTGAATATTCAACTAGCGTTTTATTAATGTGCAACATATTAGCTTTTACAAATAAGTATAATCGTAAATAGTATGAATAATAAAATACATTCATAAATGCAAATATGCAACATTCTTATCGGTAAACGTCGTCTAAGCTGATAACTGCATCTCATTTTCAAACAAGAATTCCAATATGATCAGTAACGAAATGGAAGCGATTCTAGTCACTGTTGGTCTTCTTGGGGCTATAATTTTATTAGTTTACAAATATTTAAGCTGGCATCATGGAGTATTTAAAGCAGTTGGTCTAGATGGCCCAAAACCAAATATATTTTTAGGAAATTTTCCCAGCGCTATTACCGGCAAACAGCCAGTGGTCTATGATGTCGATGAAGTTTATAGGTGAGTGTGACTGCTATGTTCCTAGTGGTTTTTGAATGTTAATGGTCAGTGTTTAGCGTTGTCACTATGCTACGATTTTTAAAAAATTGCTACGATTTTTTTTTAATTTTAAAATTTGCTATCCCACTACGTTTCATCCTTTTGTACTACGCTTTTTTATTTCATTCAATTTATGAGCAACAACAATTTTTAAATATCCATTACTTTATAATAATAATAGATTGGCGCTTACACATATGTTAGTGTTTGGCCGAGCTTCTCCTCCGTGGCGTGTGGCGTGCGCCTTGATGTTGTCACACAAGGGGCAGGGACCCACTCCAAGCGTCGACTGTATTTTTATGGGAAGCTGTTTTTTATAACATAAATACATTCGGAGGTTCGCCATAGCTTGCCGAGGGGCGGCCGCTATCAGAAAATTATTAATTATTTTTGATATTAGGCTGAACCGGGCTTGAACTATTTTATATATTATATTTTTTCAGTAAATATAAGAACACGCATAAAGCTATCGGTGTCTTTATGACTCGGAATCCGCAAATATTAATATTAGACCCAGGGCTGGCGCAGAAAATTATGGTGACAAATTTTGGAAAATTTCGCGGCAACGTAGCAGCCGATTTGGTAAGAAAAAGCACATGTATAAGTACATACATACATACATGCCTACATACATATGTACAGTAGATTGTCCCAAAAATATATGGGACAAAAATTTTTGCAAGTTTTTATATGCATACCCTCTATATGTTTGCTTTTTTATAGGATTCAAATTAAACTAGGATTCTTCAAAATGCATTAAAAATTCAAAATCTTGAAGGATAATATTTTCAAAGGACATTTTGACATGTTCCAAAAGGATTAATTTAAAACAAAAGTCATAATTAATCTTTTTTCAATTTCTCTTTTACTTGATACTCATATATCCATATTTTGTGTAAACTTTTGAAAATATATGTATTATAATTTATGGTCCTTTGAAAACAATCCTGACTACCTGGTAAAAAAACTAAAAACGTAGATTTGTTAAATATTATGCCCTAATACTGTCGTGGGTATTGTAATATCGCCTAGAATATCGTAAATAAGTAAAATTAGTAAGTAACTGAACTGCAAGTCGGCACGTTTTGCCGTGGTCCGAATTCCATAAAATTTTAGTCGGATAGCTTTTAAGACAAAACCAATAAAATGAGGGGATATGCGTTAAAAAAATAACAACTTTGTTTTTTTGGGACAGTCTAATGTACATACATACATTGAATTTCTGGAATCATTAACGGAAAAGTAGGCTCTTTCTTTTAATAGATATATAACCGAAAGGAAGATAAGATAGCTGCCGGAAGTCCTTTCTTTACCAGCGACGAGTCGTGGAAAGCGAAAAGGTTACATGTAGTCGGTGGATTAAAGCAAAGCAAGGTTCTTTTCACGTTTTGTTTTAATTTTTCAAGCACTAAAAAATCCATTAACGCTAACTTATTTTCAGCTCAGCATGGCTTATCCTATTTGGAAAGGTTGCGCCAAAAAATTGGCCAAATATCTCGAAAACAGAACTGCTAATGGCAATGCCATCATCGAAACAAAGAATGTAAGTAGATACCTAATGAAGAACGAATTTCAGGCTGCCGGATTAAGAGGCAAACGTATGAATATAATCGAGATAATAAAGGCAACTCGTCTAAGACGTAACTTGTTTAGACGTAATATTATTTTACATGCAAACCTTCGCTGAATCGCATCAAAACCCCTTTAGCACTTTTATCTTTACAAATTCAAGAGTATGTTTTTATGTAATGTCTGTATGTAGATACAAAAAAAAAATATGTAACAGTAATTTCTTTTCGCTTAATTCACTTACCCAGCTCGGCTTCTGTTTCACCTCCAACGTCTTAGGTGAGTTCCTTTGGGGCATCGAAACGAATGCATTCGCTAAGTCGAACGAACCGAATACTTTTCTGGAAATGTCACAAAAATGGCTCCAATATATCGCTCAATCAGTTACCGTTTATTTCAAATTGCTGCCCGTGCCTTGGTTACGTCGCTTTGCGCAACCTCGTTTGTTTCCCTTGGCAACCGATCGGTTCTTCACTCAACTAACTAAGGATGCACTTGAGTGGCGTGAAAAAGATGAGAGTAGCCAGAACAGAGTGGATTTTCTCAACTATCTGCGACAGTTGCAAGAAAAGAAAAATTTAACGCTCGACGATATGGTCGGATGTATGCTGACTACAACGCTGGATGGTTTCGAGACATCGGCGACGGTGCTCTTCCATACAATATTTTATGTGAGTGTCTACTAATCTTTATAAACAATTCTACTTATTGCGAATACATATAACATTTTCTTTTAAAAGTTGGCGCATCATCCGCAGTACCAAGAGAAGCTGCGTATGGAGATCTTAGCAAATCTCGAGGAGGATGGGAGTGTGAGCTATCAAAAATTGTGTGCTTTGCCATATTTGAATCAGTGTGTCAATGGTGCGTCTTTTTTGCCTAAATACATACATATATTTTTAAAAACTTTAAAGCCATCCATTTATTATGCTTTATTTAGAGTCCATTCGCTTGATCAGCGTAGTCTCATTTTATGCCCGCATTTCCACTGAGCCCACTGAACTGGAAGTGGGCCAAGGGCTTGTAATACCAATTAAAGTCGGCCAAGTTGTCAGTGTGCCTGTATTTAGTTTTCACCATAACCCAGATCACTTTCCAAAACCATACGAATTCAATCCGGATCGTTTTAATAATGAGGCACATCTGGATTTAATGAAAAGGGGTATATTTATGCCTTTCGGAAATGGACCACGAATATGCGCAGGTGAGTTTTGCAATTTAATACAAAATTTCTAGTAGCAAAGCATTTCCGTCAGTGTCAAGATCAAACGCAGTAGTTGGTAACAGTATGATAGATTAGGACTCAATGCTGTTCCAAGGAGACTATTTAACAAGTTGTAGATACTGTTTAAAACTACAGTAGCCGGGAGACAAATTTTTGGTAACTACATAGTTATCTATATTGAAAACGGGGCATGCAAAGATTTCCCAGAGGCTATCATGGAATCCCTACGCTAAGCTGGATTCTCTGGACCTCTGACAGAAGTCTTCAGTCTTCTCCTACGTAAAAGATCTATAAATATGTATGTGATAAATATCATAGGCGAGCAAGAGCCAGGAAGCATAACCACAAACCTATATTTCCGTAGGATTTTGGTGCGTTGAAATCCAATCTACTATTTTTTGACATATTTGAGGTTTTTTAGCATAGTAAATAAATTTTTTCATAGATAACTAGTCAAAGTATCTTTAAAACAAATATTCCTCTTTCGAATGCCGTTGAATTTGGCCAACTATCTTTTTCCCTTTTCCTAGACTTGTAAGAGACCAGTTTGGTGCCGATAACCGAAAAATTTGTGTGCAATTCCCAACGATACATTTTTGGTTTAATAAGAACTTATTTGCATTCTTTTCAGGCATGCATTTGGGTTTGGTGGAGGTTAAAACCTGCCTCGTAGAAATATTCAAGGCTTATCGAGTAAACTGCTGTGCAAAAACAATTCCGGAAAAACGACCCGAATCACCGACATTCATAATGGGTATCGATGGCGAATTTTGGCTGGAGTATGAAAGACTATAATATAGATATTAAAGTTTTAGTCCTTAAAGAAAATAAACATAATTTGTTTTTCTTTTATAAAAATACATACATGTAAGTATATGTGCATACATATATATATATTTCTTTCGATTAAACAAAATATCAATATACATAAACATATTTGCATATTTTAACTAATTTATTACACACTTTTTGTAATCCTACACACTCAAAGATGCCTCAAATTGCACTGAAAGCGTAGTAGCAACCCAATAAACATTTTTGTTAAATATCAATTTCAGATGCATTTGAGGTTCAAACGTTACTTCTCAAATGCATCTCAAATAACCTTTGATAGAGTTCTCAAACTAATAGGCAAATTTTTAATATGGAATTTTCCTTCCTTAACAAATAGAGAAATATTGAATATTCGAGCAAAAATTTAGATATCTCAATGAATTTTGGTATGCAGGTTGCCTTTTATACAAGGTAGGTTGCTGTTGAAAATGTGCGAAATCGGACTGTAAACACGCTCCTCGCTTAAAATTAAAGAAAATTAGATTCTTATAAATTTTTGGCTTTTGGGCGTGGCGCCGCCTACTTATGACCACAAGTGTGTATCTCATTTGCATTTAATAACCTTGGTACGGAAAAGCAATTCGTTAAAAATTATTCAAATCGGACTAAAACTACACCCGCTTCCTATGTAACGGTAAATTTCGGATATACGGCGTGGCACCGCCCACTTTATGACTACAAAGGTGTATCTCGATAACTTTTTATCGATTTTAGCGCAACATCTGTGCAATTTAGTATAAACAACGAACGACGCAAGCCTGATTTAACGCAATGTTTTTGTGTGGCGGCGTGTGCAAAGAAATTCCGGGTTGTATTTCCCTTAAAAGACTTACCAAATTAAACTTATAAATATCTACATATAAAATTTTAAAACTTTAAATAACAAGAAAAAAATTATTTGCCTTTAAACTAGTAATATTATTCGTAGTTTTCAAAAATTCATTTCTGCCAGCCAAAAGTATGCAAGTGAGGCATTTGTGAACAAAAAAGTATCAAAGAATCAAATCTTAAAATTTGGGAAAAAAGTATCAAAAATGATACAAGTGTATCAAAACGGCAACGCTGCTGCCGATAGACTTCGACATCTTTGCACAGGTCGAACGAAGCAAAATGCTAAAAAAAAATTCTCAAATGTTTCGCAAACCCTTCTTAAGTTGATAAACAATATTTGAGAAAAATTTGGGAAAATATTTAGTTTCAAATGAGAAGCAATGCTAAAAATCAAATTTAGAAATAAGCGTTAAAAATTTTTGTCCAGCGTTTGTTGGGAAGTAAGTAAATGCTCACAAACAAACACAGAAATGAGAGAGCAAACATTTCGACTGCAGTATTTAATTAATTGCACTTGGCATCAATGACATTTTCATTAAACATCGTCACTCAAAAGTATGTATTCGCATCTCAAACTTTCACCTGACTGACCGGACGCATACAAGCGCTCATACAAACACACACACACACACGGATATACACACATACATAAGTACATATGTACATCAAAAATAGGACAAATTACGAATTAGAAATTACGAATTTTCCGCAACAACAATGTATTGCTACAACAAAAGTGACAACAGCTGAACGACATTTCACCCTCAACTGGCCCACCTTTTGTGTTGCACACATGTACGTATGTGTACGAATATACTAGGGTTGTTTCGAATGTCATTTTTGCGAATGTTAGGAATAACATTAAAAAAGCTTGATCAACTTGAGTCATCGTTTTTATTGCATACAAATTTTGTAAATTAATAGAACATTGAACGACTGCTTAACCTATCCAGTGTTCTAGTCTAGTAGTCAAAGTTCAAAAGGGGCATATTATATTCAAAAAATAATAATTTGCTGCCTTTTCTACCATGAAGCGATTTCTTAGAGCCGCTTACTTGTACCGCTGGCGGGTGGAGCGCTCAAATATTTGCGGGCCATATCGGTCAATTTGCCGTATTTTAGATTACTTTTCCAAGGATCGAGAGGATTTTCACCGAGAAGAGTTCGTTTTTCTTTAAGATAAGCCTTCAATTGAGCTTTAATTTCACATTTTTTAAAGCCTCCAAATTCTACATCCGAGCCTTCGCTTTCGCTGGAGGAATCTAACATTTTTTCTAGGTGGCTTATAAGACTTTTAGCAGTACTTGTTGAAGGCCCACCAGTGTTGCGCTTGATATACTACTTAACCGTTTAGCGCCTGAAGCTAAAAGTTGTCCGCACCCTGGTTAGACAGACTTACAGCCCGACCCTATGCACTTGGTAAATAACAAATTTTTATAATTAGCGAATTTTTTATTATTTATCAAGAATGGGAATTCTAGCACAGAAATCAAAAGCTCTTTTCTTGATGAATTATCAAGATTGAAAGTGCTATTGACAAGCGTTTACAAATTGAAATTTCATATGAAAATTATAAATTATGTATATTAAAAAATTGTTTCTGTCATTTAAATACTGCATGTGCCGGCATTTGAACCTGCGACACACAGAATTTATAGCCGACATTTATACTTACTCGGCTACGGCAGTCAAAAGCTTTTTTGCTTTTGAATTCATATTTTTCATAAGTGACAATGGGCGCGTTCATAAGTCGTAGCTGCTGGGTAACCGTTGGCTGTTTGTCTTAGAAACGCACAGTTGAGTAGTTACGATCAGCCCAACAGTTGGCAACTGTCCGCCATTTTTTCCAGCGGAAAATTTTTACGCTACCTGAACTCAACGTGTTGGGCTTAGCCTAAACAGCTGAACGAAAAGACTTACGCCGCTTTGTGAGGTGGCAGTTGCAAACAAATTTATTATATTTTATATTACTGACGTGATAAAGTAACGAAAATATTTTATAATAATACTACGTTTCTAAATATATGTTTTTAAGATGTTTGATATATAATTTTACACTGTTTAATTCATTGTAACATTGAACGATTTTTTCAACACGGCGGCCGCTCAGCGTTGAATTCTAAATAGTATCGGCGCGACTATCTGTATTTGTTGCAATTTCATTTATTTACATTTATCAGCTGTTCATTTGGCAGCATATTCATCAATACGTTTCTAAGACGTAATTGTTGGGTTCAATAGTTGCCAGCAGTTTCGTAGCAGATGAGCTAAACAGCTACGTCTTATGAACGCGACCAATAAAATCAGTTTCCTCCATATTGAAATCGTAGAGCTTTTCATTTTATAAGTATTGACACAGAATGCGATGGGAGCTTTTACTTGAAAAAAATTTTGATAAAATTTCTTTACAAATAATTTATCAAGAAAACACAGAATTGTGCGGATAGAGCCATTTCAGCAATATTAGAGTGGACTCTCTGCCCATGTACACATTCACATTAGCAAAACATTCGTATCATTTGATGCGAATGCGAAGGTCGAATGCGAATGTCGAATGCGAATGTGTAAAATGGTGCGAATCTTTCGCATAACGAATGCGAATACAAATATTCGTAACATCCCTGGAATGTACATACATATGTACATATGTATGTGTGTATGTTGGTGAAGAGAGAGAGAGATAAACAAGCAAAGCTCGAATAATGAAACTGCTGACAACCAACTGACATTTACAAATGTCACATGCAATATTGAACATACACAAAAGGCAAAGTTAATAAAAAGCCACCATCGTCACCACCTCAAAATAAATACTTACAAACTGCAGCACTTCGTCCGCCTCCTACTGCCTTCAGGAAGGCAGGAAACTTTCTATCGAAAACATTATACAATCATGTCAATCAGGGCAGCGGGAATGGTAAAGTGGAACGCCTTGTGAGCACAAGTGTGTGTGTGTGTACTGAGCTTAGGATAAAGCACCGAACTGTTGCCGTACAAATAACAAAGTAAGCAGAGACTGAAGGAAAAAATTTTAGTAGGATATGAAGAACTAAGAGGAAATGTGTCGCAAGAAAGTCAAAATCAGTGCCAACGTTTTGTGTCAACCTGCCAAGGCAATCTAGCGGAGGAGGAGGACGGCGAGTGTGGTTCGAAGTGGTCGTGGCATAGCTGTATGCTCAATGACCCCAGACGCGCTGTTTTATAGTACACAGAGCTACTTTAGAAGCCATTACAGCATAATGTAACCACACACCCACCACTCAAACAATGATTTCCATCTGGTTTTTTTTCTTTTTGTTATGCGGTAGCCTAAAGATTGAACTCTTCCGCTGAATGCTGGCTAATCGTCGTCGTCCTTACGTACACAATGTGGCTGTCCTGCAAGCAATTAACTTTGACTAATTGTGGTCAGCTTAATTAGGAAAAAGCAATGCAACAGCAGCTATGTGAAACATTGTGAAGATAAGGATGAAAGCGTACATTTGAAAGTCGAGAAAAAAGTATTATTTGAGTAGCTTATAGGTTGTAATTGTACTTATTTAAGTAGCGGAGCGGAGGAGCGCGGATATATGTATACATATGTACATAGAGGAACAAGTGGTTAACAATTGACAGTTTTGAAGTTTTATCACTTGCAAAAGTAGCTTTTTAAATGAGTAATTAGCCAATTGCTGTGATTATTCTAAGAGCCGAATACTTTGTTAATAAAACAATAGAGCAGCAAAGGCTTTCTGAAAGGCATTCATATGAGGCATAATTTTTTGAGTCGGTTGCATTTAGTACAAAAGTTACGTCATATCTCCGATTGGCTTCAAGTTTGTTTATGGATTCTATGCATGAAATAAGATAACAGGTATTCGAGGCATTTTTGTAATTTGTTTTCGAAACTTATGATGAGACATAGGTGCATACATATATACTACAATATGCGATTGGGTATTATACAGAATTGTAATGTTTTTTAACAACGCTTTAATTTAAAACCCGTTTTTCGATCTCTTAAACGCGGTCGATTTTGGATTACGTGTTCGTTTTAAAATATATTTAAATATATTTATTTCACGAAATATTTATTCAAATTTGATTTAGTTTTGACTGGATTTAAGGAAAACACTTCACTGAAAATACGAAGAAGGATTTCTTCTTTACGAACAACACCAAATTTTTTTTGGAAAAAACCATTCGAAAAAATATTAGTAAAATAAATAAGTATTCATTTTCTCAAGTTTTTTAAATTTAAAAAAATAACTTTAAGCATGCTAAGAAATGATTTGGTAATTCACTTAAATTTTCAGAACAAAAACAAAGTACTGGAGAAAATAAATTAGAAAATACTTTCTTAAATGAAGTCAGAGGTTTCTTGTTCTATTCTCTGAGAACGTGTGGCAGGCGTCTATGAAACTAATACAGATACACATTTACAAATACCAGACACTGTTAAATACCGCAGCTCAACCAGACAGTTCCACATTCAAATTGCCCTCAACTGGTCCAGAACTATTCGGATAGGTCGCGCATCGCTGATATCTTTACCTAGCGGGCGAACGTAGCAGTGTTGAAAGAAACGGAACAGAGTAATTCACTGTACGCAGCAGCGGGTGTCGTTTTGTGAATTTATATTAGGTGGAATCTCTTGTAACCGAGCTACAAAAGAACGCTAAAGCGCGTGTCAGCCGTGGCAATACTATTTCCAGCTTATCCACGCAAATCACTTCTGCTGCCCCATATTTTCCTAGGATGCTCTATAGTTCCAATTCCATTATGAATGCTAAGCTGTCCAAAAAGTGAGACCCACACCCCTATTGCGAGTATCGACTAGTAGTAGTTAAACGACACAGCATTAGTTGCACACTTCCGTTACTTATAGTATTTTATCCTTTTCTTATTCACATTTATGTGCCTCTATCGACTACGTCATAAAAATCACTTATTTTTTATTATCCTCCAAATTATCCAGCTCTTATTTCAAATTTTTGCATACTTTTTTCGCCTATTTCTTTCTACTTTCCTACGCTGCTCCCACATCATCGACATTTTCAATGCATTTCACCATTTTCAAGAGCTCAATAAAAATTCTTGTTAAAATTTTTCTTCCACTTAGCTCTCCACTTTTTATTTGCCTTGCCATTTTTTAATGGCTCAATTTATCATGATATGCAAATTTTGTGTTCGAGTGTCATTCACTCGGTGACGTTGATTTGAATGCTTTGCAGAAATTATTCAAAGGAAACAAATAAAAATTCAGTGAAAACAAAAAAAAATGCAGTCACTTTCTTTGGTAAGTTTTTCGCTCGATGTCAACAAGCCGGGGAAATTGCAACTTATAAAGTATGCAACAGAAATTTTTTTTATGACTTGCAAGAAAAATTAAACAAATTGAGAATATTTTATTTTGCCTCTTTTCACAGCATGGATTATTCAAGGCAAATTTTTAAATTTACGTACTTGCTATGTGTATGAATATTACTGCCTAGTATTTTCCCGAAAACTTACACAAAATTTTGGTTTTTAAAAGCAAATTTTTAAATGTACGCCCATTTACACGCCGGAATATCGCAAATAACTATTGAAGTCGAAGCATTTTTTGGCAAGTACGTAAATTTAAAAATTTACTTTTAAAAACTAAAATTTTGTGTAAGTTTAAGGGATAATGCATTTACATATGTACTATATCTACTAATTATATTGGATGTTTGATGAAAATTCAGAAATTTTAGAACTGTCATATAATACCAAAGAAAAAAATTAAAAAACAATTTTCCAAATTTGACAAATTCCCGGATTTTTCGTATTGCTATATATGTAAAATAAATTCGAAAAATAAAAAATACACAATTTTTTATACAATACAAACCTGAAAAAATACTGAAAATTTCAGGGTGTTTTTGAAGACATAAATTTTTGAACTCTTAAAAAATTATTGCAAAATGTACACAAATACATATTCGAATTCATTTGCATATTCATATATATTGGTCCTATTTCTTTTCACATACATATTCATTCTCGTATTCATGTATATACATATTCATAATCACAGTCATATGATTAGTCATATTCATTTTCATTTTCATTTACAAAATCATATTCATATTTTGCAATTTATTCTTTTAAGCTATTCAATCACAATTATGTACATACATACATACCGATTCATACATCTCACGCAATCGTGCCTAAATTTATGTGTGTATGTATAGGTTTTAAAACAAAACATCAAATATTAGCAAAATAAAGTCCGATTTCGATGGCAAAGTACAGAAGGGGGGCCAAATGATATTGCAGAGCATTGAATTTTATTACACTCAGAAAACATTGACACAAAACTTGATTAGGAAAATGTCCCCCAGAGGCGTAGCACAAAAACTAACAAGCTTTGATGCATACGTATGTACATATGTACGTATAACGGGTGATTTTTTTGAGGTTAGGATTTTTATGCATTAGTATTTGACAGATCACGTGGGATTTCAGACATGGTGTCAAAGAGAAAGATGCTCAGTATGCTTTGACATTTCATCAT